TTGGAGAATGGTTAAAAGTAATTTCAAAAGTCAAGCTTTGGTAGCAGATCAAAAACTGCTCGTCTACCGATAAAAAAAGATCTCACTTTTTTGTATTTAGGAAAATGGAACAGACTAGAACTGTTAAAGTCTACAAACTGAAATATACATGATTAAATAAGATAAATAAAACTCGTTTAAGAAAAATGTAATCGCGTTCCAAGTTGTGTTGCCTTAATAGTAAAGTTATTGCTTTATTTATGTTTTTAGGCTTAGACATAAATAAACCTGTACTTAAAATTCAGTAGGATTGCATATACCCAATATAATCTAAGTTAAGTAAAAAAATACACAAGCATCAGTATTGTAAAGAGACTAAAAATTTCAAATGATCGCGTTTCAAAAATTATACATTCCCTTTCAAAATCTTGATTAAGGAGTTAACAAACGGGAATTTTCACAGGATTCTTAACATTTTCCTTAAAGCTCTGAACCCGATGAAAACATTTTGAGCGTAGGAAATTTAATAAATAATTTACTGAATATCAGTAATGCCTCAAATATCTTTAAAGTCAGCTTCCCTTCTGTTGCTTAACGTCGTAAGTAATGACTGCATAGCAGCCCGGCCGAAGGCCATAACCTGGAAGAAAGGATTGTAAATTACTTTGGCAAGACTTCTGGAAGAGCTTCTTGGTAGATCCCCTGGGCGAGTGCCAGCCATTTTTCATCATCAGGCATGACGTGGAGTGAGATTCATAACTCAATCAAGCTCTGATCCCATCCCAAACTTGTAAATGGCCAAAAACCTCTCTTTATTGCATCTGATGAAGCTCTTGAAAGTGGATACCCTCGAGAAGGGTTTTTGTTAATATCTCTCTCTATCAGCGAGGAAATTTATGAAAAGAGTTCAAGTTATCCTGACTATGGTAGTGCAAAATACACCTATTGCAAACGCTTTCTCGAAATTAAAGCATTCACGTTTCAAAACTTAGATTATGAAATTACACATTAATGATATGTAGAAGAAAGCTATTAAAGCTAGGAATAAAAACGACAATCTATCCTTTAGTTTCAGGATGAGAAACACTCTCTTGAGATTTTTAAAGTTCATTAAGCTTGGATTAATATCGAAGGAACTTGGTTGTTTACTGTGGTTATATCTCACAAGGTAATGTTAATTAGAAAGAAGTTCAGACTTCGTTAAGGAAGTCTTAAACTTTGTAAGAAAAAAACCGTTGACTATGAGTGATAATGTATTGTGTACAAGTGATGTTACTAAAAGGGAAAGGAAATCGGTTAGGTCGGTTTGGTTTATTAGATTACCGCAAAGCACTCGAGGGCTATCTGCCTTAAGGGAGGGATGCCTTCGTGGAGGACTTTTTAAGAAAAACTGGCTCGTATACACGTTACACTTGGGAAAAACCACGAAAACACCCATGCAGCCAGCCCGTTCGCGGGATTTGAACCTCGGACCGAACTACCAGTGCTCAGCGACATTACCGCTCGGCCGCTGGTTGGCGAAAAATCGGTTAGGAATTTATAATGAAGTGTATTACAATTGTTTTTTTAAATTTTTAACTACCTGAAATTATTTGTGTTACATTTGGTTTCAAAAAATTTAAACAGAAGCTATTTCAAAAAATTTCGAATTTCTTGATATGGGAAATGATAATTAATATCAAACTTGACGCACATAAGGGGACGGTGGACTTTAAAAAAATCTACCAAAATAGTGATTTCAATCTTATTCTGTAAATAGGTAATGTTCTAGAAAATATAGAGTAACATTTATAACTAAATAACATTAATCACGTTAAAAATAGCCAAACATCGCTTTAACATTATGAAAGTGCAACAAGGAAGCCCCGAAGAAAGTATATTTTTATAAAATTATTACAAAAGTAAATACTCTTATTTCACACCAAGCACATGCACAGAAAAATAGTTTTATTGCTTTAAAAAAAAAGTCTTAATTATAACTGCAAAAAGTAATAAAAAATACCGAATTCTTGAAAAGGTATAATATAAAAGAAAAGTATTTGTTCCTTTTATCTAGGTATGATACTGAAGGCGCATATGTGGCAAATAATCTTATCAAAATTATTCAACCGGAGATAAATATTATGATTTGCTAATGTATTATTGACTTTATAATTCTATTTAAATAATTGATGTAAAGGAACATCGATGATGTACCATAAGGTATAGAAATTTAATGTGATAATTTTGATACGAAATAGATGAAGGTTGTTTCTAATTTTATCGTACAAAGTAATATTAAAATTAAAAGAAGTTGTTAAAATCCAGTTTTTCTGTTATCAAAGTAAAGGATTAATTTTTAATATAAATAATTTTCTAATCATTTTCATCGAGCTATCAAAGGTTACAACGCCCTCTCGATAAAGCTGTACAGTTCGTTTAAATATAGAGTTAACTTCCTAAAACATTGGCATGCAAAATGTATATGAAATCTTATTCAATCGATTGCTTTCAAAAAGCAGATGCAAATCATTAAAGGTTTTATGAAAAACAGTATAAGAACTAGAGAGTGTCTCTTTAAAACTTGTTCCTAAAAGTAAAAACTGGAACTTTAAATGTCTTAAATAATGTAAACTTCTAAATGAAAATCCCCTTCTTAAGGATTAGTTCGTTTATTAAATGAGATCCCCGATGAACGTCAAGAGAAAATGTCCATCCGTGAAGAAGTTAAAAATTAAATGATAATTTAATACTAACAATTAAAATGAATATTTCGGTATATTTTGTCAGATATAAATCATCATATAGCCAAATATGTTAAAATTCAAAAAATATGGGAAGTATAATTTATGCTTTCCCATTTTTTAAAAATAATTGATTCCGTGTTAAAAACTGACATCTAATTTCCGCACTTTAACTTTGAACAAAAGTATTGTTTTAGAACTCTTTAAAATTTAGACATCAGCAAAATAATCAGCACAAAACTCTCTGAAGGAAGTAATTCAATTAAACTCCTGTGAAACCGTTTATCAATTGTTCCTGCAAAAAGGAATTTTATAGAGAAAAAAATACTGATTTGGAAAAGTGGTTATGTTTACTTCTGATGACACAGCTTTTATGCTAGGTGAGATAAATGGAGTAGCAGCAAAACTAAAGGAAAATATATCATATTCTTGTTTGACAACAATGTATTGCACATCGTGAAGATTTGGGTATTTACTATGTTTCAAAGACGTTAAATTAATTAAAGGAAATGAAACTTTGATAAGCACCATATACTCCGTATTTTCTGGGTCTGAAGAAGTAGAGGAAAATTTCAAGGTATTGCTATTGTTACAAAATTAGGTGCTGATACCTTTTGCACTAAAAGCAATGATTAAAAATTATGAAGCAATAATTAAATGTATTAATGGATATGAAGCGAGTAATCCTACTTCTAATTACTGCTTACGAAGATTGGAAAATACTGAATTTTATATAAATTTATATATTATGAATGACGTTTCTGAAGAACCTGCAGCAGTGTAAAGAATTTTTTAGCGGCGCTATCTAATATCATTTGATGCGTTTCACTTTGTTTACGGGAAAAAATAACGAAGAATATAATAACCGTTATTTGGAGTAATACAATGAAAATTCTGCTCCATAAAACCAAGGCAAAAATATTAATATTGACACTAATTATATGCTAACATTTAAAAATTACTTTGCTTTCATTTATAGAAAATGTGGCTGATAATGAATTGCAGGAAATTGAAACTTTTGAGTTGAAAACATTAAAAGTATGTGACTTCAATTATGGCACAGAACTGGTCGAAAATTTAAATGTAAAATACAGTAACATATTAACAGAAGAAACAGCTGGGCTGAAATAATACGATAACAGCAGTTTGCCGTATGTGAAAAATTAATGTAAATTGAGAACACATTATTTCGGATATGGTAGTGTTTTCAATACAGAATGAACAATTTTCCGAAATTTTCAAAATTAATAGATATTGAAAGAGCATTTCTGAGGTCTAGTGTTGGCTGGGAATGAGGTTTCAGCTTAATAGAATTCGACAAAGAATAAACAAAGAAATCGTTTGAAAGAAGATCGCTTAGACATGTTAGTGCGAGTAAAATTGTATTTAAACAGCGAAAGCAGTATAAATTTGGATCACATATATGCTGACTGATTTTAAAGATTGAAGAAGAAAATTTAACATAAATGTAACATTTATTTACTTTTTGATAAATCTGAATACTATTTCTATTACAAAGTAACTAAAAAAGTTCTTGTCGTTTCTGATATGAGAAGAGTGAACCTCAACATAAAAATAGTCGCCAAACCTGGAGATGAAGTGGTTAAGATGGGAGTCTGGACATTGACCAAGAGTATAAAAGCGTGTTGAATTGGTACCTCACTCTCAGCGCTTCTTCAACCACGGCAGCAGTCAGTCAAAAAATGCTATAGCCAGGCGCTGAACGACACTACTTCAGAGAGCCGGATCACGTCGTGCAAGTTCGCATGATAATTCTGGCATATCCAGCAGAACTAGGAACTAGGAATTTCAAACATAACTCACACAGCGACAGATTGAAATGGACGCGTTAAACGCGCTTGTTAGGAGTTGTTTGCTGTATGATTTTAAAGTGGGCCTGTCAGTAGCAGATTCAAGTCGCCGAAATTACCAGGCCTTTGGAAATGATGCCGTTAACGAACGAACCGCTAGGTTCCAGAAGTTCATGTCAGAGTATATGTCTCTTAGTGGTGCACCACGCAGCGATCGGCGACAAGCGCTGGACGATGAAGCCCTGAGAGCAGCTATAGAAAGTTACAGTAGTCAAGCATGTTATGGGCTTCCAGGAATCTGATGAAACAATGAGACTCCATTTGCACTGCATAGGAAAGGCATACAAGTTGAGGAAGTGGGTACCCCACTCACTATTCGATGCAAACAAGCAACAACGTGTCGCTGCCTGTTTGTCATTGCTTACTCGGCAACGCAATGCATCCTTATTTGATCGAGTACTCACTATCGATGAAAGGTGGGTCCAGTATGACAGACGCAGGTGTTCCAGACATTGGTTGTCACCACGGGACCCCATGCCTCACACTGCGAGACCTTCTCTCCACCCACGCAAGATCATGTTGTGTATCTGGTGGACTACTTGTCAAGTGGTGCACTAATGAGCTCCTGACAGTGAGCCAAACAATCACGGTAGGCCTGTACTCGCAGCAGTTGGAACGTGTGCACAAGGCACTGATGCATAAAGAGCCAGCATTTGTCAATCGTAAGGGTGAACTCCTCCATGAGAATGTGAGGCCGCATAGGGCTCGGGAGGTCAGGGACATCATCCAGCGACTGGGCTGAGAGACAGTACCCCATCCACTATACTCCGCAGATCTCGCGTCAACAGACTACTATTTTTCCATTCGTTGGACAACCACCTTCGTGCTAAATCCTTCAACAACCGGCCAGACCTCGGAAAGGCCCTCCCGGAATTATTCGCTTCCAAGACTCCTGAGTTTTACCGCGATGGCATCGCGTAGCTAGTCACTCGTTGGCAAAAGGCACTGGATGCCGACGGTGATTACTTTAAAAATTAGCAGTGATTATTATTTGTTTTATGACATTTTCTTTCTGACAGTCCAAAACGGTAAGAACGTTTTTGTTTACCTTGTATTATTATTGTTAGAGATATTTTTAGTAAATAATTCTGTTATACGTGTTAGCTTTCGTAATTAATATTTTTAAAAGTATATGTATTTTTGAAAATAGTGAATTCTACTGAAGAAGAATTAATTTAAATACTAAATTAAAGTAAAAAATAAAAGCCGTACCAACAATTTTTGCAGAAAAAAAGTTGCACAGATAAAAATAGCCTGCATAGCTGCACCTAAAAGCTAGAGAGAAGAGTGATAATGAATATACAAATAATGAAATATTGTATCATATGATTACAAAATTGATGACTGACAGCAACTATACGATAGTTAAGAACGTAGTTTAGGTTTTTAAAATACCACCTAAAATCAGAAAACCATGCTAGGAATTCTAAAACATCTTCGTTTGGAAAGTGATTTTTACATATATCCGATGATGTAATTATCAAAATTTATCACTAATTAAAAAACTGCAAATATTTGTTCTTATATTCGATTTATTATTTTACTCTATACAGTTTGTATAATTATTTTCTCACTGTATAATACGATATTATCATCACAAATATGTATGCATGAAAAGTTTCAAATACATCAGACGAACTAATTTCAGTAGAAGCGGGTAAAGTATTTATTTCCAAGACTTGACCCATCCAAAGAAACTAAAACTGCGTAAAAATCAGTAAAGTTTAATGAAGTAACCATGTTAATTAAATATATGGCAATCTGACTGAAAAATGTTTTAGGTGGTTAAGAAATGTTTCAGCCTCTGTTTAAATTAATGACAATAAAACACGTTTGAAAAATTTCAAATCATAGAAATGAGTAAAACTTAGGAATCTTTTATTATGCTGAGTAAACTAACTGAGACACACTGCATAATAGTTAATAACTAGCTATATCCCTTGTATAATTAATTATCTTGTATCTTATATCAGCGGAAACTAATTCAAGATAACGCTTCTTTGCAAAAATATTTATTTTATTCTGGCTTGATTACCCGCTTTCATTTATTTTCTTTCTTCAAATTTAACGGAGCGTAATAATAAGACGTAATGTAGTCTTGATTAATTAAATCCTAAGTATTATGACACTATACATTTGCGCATTTGAAATGAAATCCATTCAAGGATAGGAGGAAAAAAGTCAAGCTATGGATGAAAAGGCCGATGAAGTAACTATAATAAAATCTGTACCATTATTCTGCCTGCTTTTCGGGACTGTTGAAACGAACATTCTCATCACTGATCCCCCCCTCCCGACGTAGCTCTAGGCGGTCTCTCATGATGTCATTTTTCTTCATCTGCGCCTTCGTGTCGGATCGTCTCGCTCCAGGATTAATTCCTAGGGATTGAAAAAAAAGAAAATGCTGAGGAAATGTGGTCATTGGAAAAAGAAGCAGTAGTAACTTATTCCTAATAAGTTCATTAAGAGGTATGTGAAGGGAAGATAAATGCTAAAAAATTGCACCTAAGCTAGCAGTGCTTCTGTAAGTAAAATTGTGTCACATAATACAGAATTGAAATATATAATGGAATTTCCATGTAACAAATTTAATATAGACAATATTTTCCGAAAAACAATGTCAGATGACAATATTTTCCGAAAAACGAACTTCATGAAAAGTGTGCTTCAAGGGCAATATTTAAGACGCAGATTAAGAGAATTTATTTTTCGTCAAAATCTTTATAACTCCCACCTAAGAAACAGCTCACACATTATGAGATCATATTATTTCCTTAGAAACATCAACATCATTTAAATTTTTTTAGAAAAATATTGTTATTGCAACTACTTTTTTAGAAAGCTCTTTTTATTTTATCTGTGAAATTAAATCATTTCACATAGTATGCTACAAGTGACGTTCAAAGATGGCCGTTTGGCGGCCGTAGATAGCGATTCAACCTTTTGCTTCGCACTTTTAGCTTGCTATTTTATATCTCGCTGTGAGCTACTTTCCAGACTTAGAAATGACTTAGAAATGATTGAAGTTTTGTGATTTTTTTCAAGGTACTTAGAGGATGAAAGGTATATTTCTATTTTAACGATCAAGATTTAAAATATAAATTTTTATCAGTTCCGTCACAAGACATAAGTAGAAAACTTCTCTGGATAAAAACAAATGAATGAGAAAATGAAAGAAGAACCATATGACTCGAATGTAAAACTCTCTTAAAACAGCAAAGCTTTTTACCGTGCGTATCAGCATCTTTGACTAAGGGCACCATATTATAGTTTAATTTAAGTTTCGCAATCTAAACTATGACATTGCATTGTAGCTATGACTTGATCTTCAGAACACAGATATCACCGGTGGCCATACCGTAATTAATTGGTGATTCAATTTCCTTAAAAAGCATGAATGTCTTTCGCATTAATTTCGTTTTAAAAATCCATTTTGAATTCACTATACTAGTACTTCCCACAAATATATCTTAAGCCTATAGATTATGAGTGACCATAATCCATCGCCTTAAGTTTAATTTTAAAATTTATCTAAATGTACAATGTCCTGTACTAGAAACCTACAGGTGATCGCCAATGGCTGCCAGCTTGTATATCCCAAACATGTGACCAACAGCTTTGACAGTGACATTAGTGACTTTGCTTTACTTAAATTCTGTCTCAGTTTATCACACTCTTGAGAAAGCTAAGCTCGGAATTAACTGCCAAGGAAGGTCTTCTTGTAGGTCATTTAAGACTAATGATGTATACGTTGATAGAACCCATGCAACATTGTTGTAGGAAGATGTCGTAAGTTCAGATAAATTCTTAAATTTAAATTAAGTAGAAAAATGGAGGTTCCTGTGAAGGAGGTGTTATTGGTGACTTACAAGTTCATGTTCTTTAGCGGTTGACTAAACCCGTGCAATGAAATAAACTTAAATAAATTTTAAAATTAAAATTAAGCGAAAGCTTACTGGTGCTGTAATAGCTTTTGGTCACTGGTGCTTTACGTTTGTCAAAGCTGCTGTTCACGCAGTTACATACATTCAATACGTAGTCAACGGTACAGGCAGTGCAGTATATTTAGGTAGATTTCCAAAACAAATTAACGCGAAAGGCTATGGTCAAACTTCTTTACCAGTGAGCTACAGTTCTCCACTGGTGACTTATGTGTACTAGAATATGCGACTTATACATACGCATTTTTAATTTCAGTATTTTCCTTTTATATCATAAAAATAGCATTATGCTTCTTATAAGTTTCTCTGAAATGCGCCATTTCAAAATTATTGTTTGTCACATGATTCTTACGTAATATTAATGAATCAGATGCTTAGACTATACATGGTATAGTTTGTAGGGTTTTCCTTATTTTGCATCACAAATTTATTTTTAAGTTGATACACTTGGTTAGAGAATGGGAGGGGAAGTTGAGAAGTTTAAAAAAAGGTATCAACTTAAAATATATTTGTTATGCAAAATAAGGAAAACCTTACAAGTTTACATAACGCTTGAGCCAATAATGATGTTAAAATTTGCGAAACTTAATTAGTCAGAGGGACACTAATATTTATTTATTTTTAATCAAACTTTCTAAGCATTTTATGTTGAATAACCAGATATTGTAATTTGAAGCTTTACTACAGCTTCTTCTTTCCGTAGTCCTCACCAGAATGCAAAATAATTATGTGAGTATTTAAGCCGAGGGTTTGAATATTTTGGCAGTCTTGCTTTCAGTTACACATTATCACCATCTCTGCCAAAGTTTATTTCTACTATAGCCATTTTGATAGCCGATGTTAAAAGTACGCGTTTAAATATTTGAGCAAGTTTAAGCAAGCCACTTTGTGTAGTCTACGTCTAATACGCTTAAAACAGATTTTAAACTTACGTTACTTTAAATACAGACGCGTGGCGAAGTTTTTATTTCTAGACACAAGTAGGGCCTTCTGTTAAATTTCAAAAGTTAATAAAAAGTTATTTTAACATTCGTGAGATTTTCTCATCTTAATTCAAACTAAATCGATAACGCTCTTGTCAGTCTAGAAAGATTTGAAGAACCACCGATTTAAGTTTCTACACATTTAAAATCCTAAAAACATTCTTGTAGAAATCTTCGCATTTCTTCTTCGCTTCTTTCTTTCAAACTTTGCGAGAATGGCAGCAGAATTGCAGTGCAAAACAGTACAGAAAAGTAAACAAAGAGGGTACGTTACAGGAAGCATACCTATGAACAAAAATATTTATGATATGTTAATCATAAGATATTTATGCATTCGTAACTTGTATTCATGATATATTGTTATGTGTGTACGTACCGTAATGGATTAAATGTACACAGATCCGATGGTAGCTTAATTAAATGTATTTTCCCCTAGGAAACAGGAAACACATTACAGTTCCGGAACTTTTTACAGAAGTACTCGTACAGCTCTTCTTAGTATGACAGAGCACAATCAGTATTTACTACTTGAAATTACTAAGAATGTTAAACATAAGGCAATAACACAAAGCCACAAATGCGAAAACTCGTAGTGATATCTTAATAATCTCATTGCTCTGAACTCAGTCCCGAAGTGAACTGAAAACTGATGCTCTTTCCGATGTTCCATGTTTTCACCCCGCTCGTCGAGAAATTTCCAGTGCCTTGGATTTCTTGAAATTGTTGGAAGACATACATAGTTACAGTTGCAGTTAAACAGGGAT